CAATTCTACGGGGTCTGAGGTAGGATTTAAAATACTAAGATTTCATAAAGTACAATGAACATGAGGTAGGGATATATAAAATATAGTGAACTAAACACTACTTTTACAGCAAGTATGGCTTTTTAAGTTTCTTGGTTTCTTGGGTGTCTCACAAGTAGCTAGAACTATAGGCATGTGCTACCACACCCCACTAATTTTTTATTTGTTGTAGGGATGAGATCTGGCCAAATTGCCCAGCCTGGTCTCCAGCCCTCAGGCTCAGGCAATCCACCCTCCTCGGCCTCCCAAAGTGCTAAGATTATAGGCTGAGCCACCAAGCCCGGCCCACATCTGTAATTTAAAATTTTCAAGTAGCCACATTAGGTTAAAAAGAAATTGTGAAATTAATGTTAATAATATATTTTACTTAGCTCAATATACCCAAAATATTTAAACATATAAAAAAGTTATTAATGTGTGTATTTTACATTATTTGTTTGTATGACAACTTTGAAATCTGATGTGTGTTTTACACTTACAGCATATCTCCATTTAGAGTGATCACATTTCTGTTGCTTAGTAACCTCATGTGGCCACTGTCTGCTGTACTGGACAGCACAACTTTTGCCCATTTGTCCACAGATTTTGAAGAAAATAAATGTGTTCGCTTCTCTTTGCAGAAGCCTAAAATGCCGACATTTTTCCCCCAATAACAAATTATAATAGTTACAATTTTTGAACACCTGTTGGACACCCAGCATCATGCTTAAACACATCTTACTTAATATCATCTTGCTTTGATGAAATCGGGGCACAGGAAGGTCAAGTACCAGCCCCAACCCACAGCTCTGGCCAGGACTCAGATTCAGCTCTGACTGATATACCCGTGCTCATAAATCATGATTTGATAATATTCATCACTTATGTCTATTGAGTACTTACTGGCCAGCACTGTGCTACCTGCTGGATACAGGAGAACCCACCTCCTCCATTTATTGCTACAGTGCCATGTGAGTGACATTATTGTTAACTCGTGTATAGGTGAGGCCTCGTGTACAGGTGAGACCGAGGCCAGAGCAGTTAATGCCCAGGGACACATGGATGGTTGTTTAACAAATCTGAAATCTGAACGTAGGCTTTCTAACTCCAGGAGCCCACACTTGTAACCAGTCCTCTGTCTTCTGCTCTTTGTGACTAGGAACTTGAATTGACTTTTTTTTTTCTGACATATTCCAGGTACTGCAGGGACAGGAAAGCCAGAAATGGACCTTGTGAGACTCACCCGACTCTTCTCTAGCCCTCGCCTCATGGGGCTGTCCATCCTGCAACACCTAGGCCCACTCAGAGCCATGTGGGCAGGAGGCAAGGAGGGCCCCATGTGGCTGACTCAGCCCGTGTCAGTAGCCTTCAGTAGCTCCCTCTCTCAACTGCTTCTCAGCCAGGAGAGCCAAAAGAACACTAGAAATCTCAGCTCTGACCCAAGCCAGCCCAGCCACACGGCCACTCAGGAGGAAGAGGAAGAGGAGAGTTTTGGGACCCTCTCTGACAAATACTCTTCCCGGAGACTGTTCCACAAATCGACAGCCCAGTTCTATAACCTAAGGCTCAGGGAACAGAGTGTCGAGGATGACGAGGAAAAGGAACTGGAACCCAAATCCTGGCGGGGTCCAAAAAACACCCCATACTGGTACTTTCTTCAGTGCAAACACCTGATCAAGGAAGGGAAGGTGAGGGAACCTTTGGATTCACTCACTGCTCCTGGCTTCTTCCCCAGTAGCTCAGTGTTTTGCGAGGGGCTACCTAACCTTCCCAGTGCCTGAGTGTTGGGATGCTTAGGGCACAGTTTACAGGTCTCCCCTCTTCTCTGTCTTCACCCACGTTAGGGACCCACCAGCCTCATGGCTCTTAAGTCTCCCCTGTCCTCCGCTCCCCTCCACTGTAGATTTCGTATTCACAACTGCAGTCCCGACGTTCTGGTGGCCTCCTTACCTTTGCAGCCAGCTTCCTCCTTGCCATCTCCCTTACACTTATCCACACGGGTATCCACACTAGTCTCTCTACTTTTGTGCAAATACAAGCCTGACATTTTGTTTCCAGCCTAGTTTTCCCCAAGCTATCTTCCTGTCACTAAATGGCTACCCATTACTCCATTTTCCCGGGTCAAATGCCTCAGGTCATCCTTCATTCTTTTCTTTGTCTTACCAACTCTACATTCAAAATGTCACCAACCCAAACTGCTCACATGATGTCCAGGTGTAGCTTTCTCCTCTGCCTTCTCAGCTATTAGGACTGTTGTCACCAGGTTCCCTGCTGTCCTTGTGATGTCCTGCCCACTTTCTGCTCCTACCACAGAGCCGGCCAGTTAAACATAAAGCAGTTCATGTTAATCCCCTATGCCAAATTCACTCCCAGTATATTTAGTGGTGTTACTGTTTTCTTTTTCTTAGGTGTCAGTAATGGCATTGCATTTATGTTTAGAAATCTCTTAGAGGTATGTGTTGAAGATCTTATGGATGAAATGATAGGATGTCTGGGATTAGCTTTAAAAATTTCATTTGGCCTGGGTGTGGTGTCTCACACCTATAATCCCAGCACTTTGGTAGGCCAAGGTGGAAGGATCGCTTTAGCCCAGGAGTTCCAAGACTAGCCTGGGTAACATAGCAAGATCTCATCTCTACAAAATATACAAAAATTAGCCAGGCATGATGACATGTGCCTGGAGGGCACAGCTGTAGTGAGCTCTGATTGTGCCACTGCACTCTAGCCTGGGCAACAGAGTAAAACCTCTAAATAAATAAATAAATAAATAATAAAGATTTAGTTTGGAGGGGGAGTGCAGGCTATGAATGAAACAGGTTTGGCCAAACGTTGGTCAATGTTGTAATTATACTAGTCTCTCTACTTTTGTGTACTTTTGAAATCTTCTATCATGAAAATTTAAGAAACACAAAGATGCCAAAGTCCTCCCAGTGGCTTGTGAAGCCTGCAAGACCTCCCTTACTTCCCCCTTCACCCATTACCTCTCTATCTCATCTCTCTGCTGGAGTCAACTCAGCACATTCAGCTCCGAGGCACACTCTTGCCTCAGGACCTGTGCACCAACTCCTCATCTTCAAGTCGTTGTTCACATGTCACTTTCTGAGTCAGGCCCTACTTAGCCATAGGTATCTAAAAATGAATCCCCCACACCCTTCTGGCACACTCCACTTGTTCATATATATATTTTGTTTTACTTTAGAGACAGGGTCTTGTTCTGTTGTCGAGGCTGGAGTGCAGTGGTGCAATCATAGCTCACTGTAGCCTCAAACTCCTGGGATTCTCCCATCTCAGCCTCCCAAGTAGCTGGAACCACAGGTGTACACCACTGTGTCCAGCTATTTTTTTTTTTTTTTTTTTTTTTTTTGGTAGAGATGGGGTCTTTCTATGTTGCCAAGGCTGGTCTCAAGCTCCTGGCCTCAAGTGATCCTCCTGTCTCAGCCTCCCAGATTGCTGGGATTAGAAGCATGAGCCACCATGCCTGATCTTATTTTTCTTAATTATCCCATTTGGTGCCTATCTACACTAAGATGTGAGCTCCAAGCTCTTGTCCATAGCTATATCGCAGTGAATAGACCTTGGTTGGCTATAGTAGGACTTAACAACTGTTTGAACAGATGAAAATAAGAGGTAGGCCGCACGTGGTAACTCATGCCTGTAATCCCAGCAGTTTGAGAGGCTGAGACGGGAAGATTGCTTGAGGCCAGGAGTTGGAGACCAGTCTAGGTAGCTTAGTGAGCCCTCATCCCTACAAAAAATTTAAAAAAATTATCCAGGTGTGGTGACACATGCCTGTAGTCCCAACTATCCACAAGGCTGAGGCAGAAGGATCACTCTGAACCAGGAGGTTGAGCCTGTGGTGAGCCGTGATCGTGCCACTGCACTCCAGCCCGGGTGACAGAATGAGACCCCAACTCAAAAAAATTTTTAAAAAGAAAAAGACAAGGGATAAAGGAATGAACTGAGGATTTAACGGGGAATAGTGTCGGGGTAGGAATGGGGCAAAGACAGCTGTGGGCCAAGGTGGTCTGCAGTCAGAGGAGGCTGGCTCACCCAGGGCTGCCGTCCTTCACCTCCTCAGAGGGTCCTTCAGCCTCCCTCCCTGAGGCCATCCTGAGTCCCCTGTCGCCCCCTTCCCCTCAGCTGGCCGAAGCCCTGGACCTATTTGAGAGACAGATGCTGAAGGAGGAGCGACTCCAGCCGCTGGAGAGCAACTACACGGTGCTGATCGGGGGCTGCGGGCGGGCTGGCTACTTGAAGAAGGCCTTCCGGCTCTACAACGACGTGAGTGTGGGGTATTGGGCAATAGGGGCCAGGCTGCGATGAGCCGAGGCGGGTCCTGACCATGCCACTCGCTAGCACATTACCCTGGCCAGCTGACTTCACCTCCCTGGACTTGGACTCATCTCCATAAAATGGAGGTGATCTTGGGTGACAGATGAGATGCCATGAAAGTCCCTCAGCCTCTGCCTGGACCTCAGTATCCCCACACGTCTTCTTTCTTTTTCGCTGCCACACCCAGCTGGGTCATATTCCTCCTCTCTCCACGACACATGCACCCTTCTTAGAGCTGCTTCTTTTAAAGGGCCTTTCACCCTGCTGGAAGATCATTTTACGTCACCCACCTCTTGGGTATGTCCTATTTGTCATTCTCAGAGCCAGGAAGCTGCAGGAGGTCTGCAAACTCTGGCAGGAGTTTGGCCTACAGCCACAGGCTGGGCTTCTGGGAACCCTAGCCTCTTGTTGTTTGGGCATTCTGCTCCAGGCCTCATGATCTCTAACTGGAAGCAAGGGGGAACAATGGCAGTGACAGATGGTAAAGTACCATTATATCCTTTAAAAGATGTAATAAAAGCCGGGCTTGGCGGCTCAGCCTGTAATCCCGTGCCTTTGGGAGGCTGAGGTGAGTGGATAGCCTGAGCCCGCGGGTTCAAGACTCTCCTGGGCAACTTGGCAAGACCTCATCTCTACAATAAATCAAAAATTAGCTGGGCGTAGTGCGTGCCTGTAGTTCCAGCTACTTGGAAGGCTGAGGCGGAAGGATCGCTGGAGTCCAGCAGGTCAAGGCTGCGGTGGCCAGGAGCAGCCACTACACTCCAGTCTGGGTGACAGAGTGAGACTCCAATTCAAAAAAAGTTGTAATAAAATGTCATGGCATGCAAAGACGGGAGGCCGTTGGATCTACCACTGGCAGAAGAGTTCAGGTGCTGGGCAAGGACAGGCGGGGGGTGGTGGTGATTGTCTGTCAGGCCTCGGTTAACAGTATAGCAGCCTTTCTGACACATGGAGGATCCATGAGTGCTGACCCCTGTACACATCACTGTTCCAGCCCAGGCCACTGGTTTAACCTCCATTGTTCTGTCACGTTGTTAGCTTTTGTTGTTGAGTTATTTCTTTTTTCCTTCACCTTTTTATCCTAGAAGTTCCAGGTCTCAAGAGTTAATTTTTTCAAGTAAACTTTTTACTTTGGAATAATTTTGGATTTATAGAAAAGTTGCAGATAGTATAGAAAGTTCCCATAATACCCCTCACCCAGTTTCTGCTATGTTACTATCTTACACTATTACAGTGACACATTTGTCAAAACTAAAAAGCCAACACCAATATGTCACTGTTACTTAAACTCTACCAGTTTGGATTCCACTAGTTTTTCCACTGATACCCTCTTCCTATTCTAGAATCTAGTCTAGGTTCCCACAAGGACTCCTCCAGTCGGGGACAGCTTCTGAGTCTTGTTTTTTGTGACCTGGACAGTTTTGAGGAAAACCGATCAGGTATTTTGTAGACTGCCCATCCATGTGAGTTAGGCTAGTGCTTTCATATGCTGAGCCTGGAGTTATGGGTTTGAGGGAAGTGCCCTCCTGTCAGGGGGTGCATGACATCAACATAACTTTTCCCTGGTGACATTAATCTTAGTCAGTTGATACAAGTGGCATTTCCCAGGTTTCTCCACTGCGGAATTACTCCTTTTCCCTTTCCATCCTCTCTTTTCTGGGTGTCCTTCATATCACTAATTACTGTCTGTGATGAGTCACCTGTGGTGTGTCTTCCTTCTAGCAGTCTCCAACCTTTTTAGCATCAGGCCCCAGTTTCGTGGAAGACAGTTTGTCCACAGACAGGGTGGAGGGGGGAGTGATTTGGATGTGTTACATTTATTGTGCACTGTATTTCTACTATTATTATATTGTAATATATAATGAAATAATTATATAACTCACCATAATGCAGAATCAGTGGGAGCCATGAGCTTGTTTTCCTGCAACTAGACGGTCCCAACTGGGGGTGATGGGAGCCAGCGACACCTGAAGTGTGTTGCTTATGTCTAGTCTACTCTATAATCTTGTTTTGGTTGCTGTTACAGCAGAAAACCCTGCTTCACAAAGATAGGATGTTGGAAATGGAAGCAGGCTTTTCAGTGCTCATCTGACAGGAGGGGGAGCTCAGATGGCACTGTGAGCGAGGGGGAGCAGCTATAAATACAGATGGAGCTTCATTGCCTCACCCACCGCTTACCTGCTGTGCGGCCTGGTACCAGTCTATGGCCCGAGGGTTGGGGATTCCTATTCTAGAAGATCCACTCCGCTCAACCTAGGGCCAGTGTGCATTTCTCATCTGTGGAGTACAGGAGTGCACGCAGAGCTTACATCATCCTTGAAGGAAGGATCGCCATCTTTGCTTTTCAGATAAGGATACTGAGGCCCAGAGAGATGAAGCGACATCTCCGAGGCCACCCCATTTGAGCATCCCAAAGCTGGGATTTGAGCTTAAAATGGCCTGACTCTAGCAGGGCTATTGAATCCCTCAGCAGTGTGTTTCCTCAGGGCTTAGCTTTACCAGGAGATTCTCCACCTTGAGCACCTGCCTCACTCCCCAAGAGGCTTGACCAGCAGGGTCAGCCCACCCCCAGGGCTTGTGATTCGGCAGGTCAGGTGGCCCTGAGAGTGTGCGCTGCACTGCTAGTTCAGGGTCACCCCGAGAACACTGCCATACGCTCTCCTATTTGGCTCTTGGAACAGCCCATCAAGGCGACGGTGTCATCCCTGGTTTCCCAATGAGGGGCTAACTTGCCCACAATCCCTCTGTACTAGTTAGTAAGCACTATACTCCCTTTCTCCCTTGACATGATGGCCTGGTTGGGCCTGAGGGCGGGGACATAGGGAAGACACTGCTGCAAGCCTCCCAGGCCCAGGGTGGGCTGACAAGTGCCCAGGGGAGGATGGTTTCTGTTTAGTATGTCAGGGGTGTGGGCTCAGTTTCCGATGTCTCTCCAGTGGGTTGAGGTTTGGAGAGCCAGGCTGTGGCATGTCATTGACTCTCCCCTGACACCTGGCCCAGTGGATGTAGTACTGGGGTCTTCTCTGGCTTCCTCAGGGTGGGATCAGCTGATTCCAGATCACCTCTGCATTTCTTCCATCTCAATAGATGAAAAAACGGGACCTGGAACCCTCAGATGCCACATACACAGCCTTGTTCAACGTCTGTGCTGAGTCCCCCTGGAAGGATTCTGCTCTGCAGAGCGCCCTGAAGCTCCGGCAGCAGCTCCAGGCCAGAAACTTCCAGCTCAACTTGAAAACCTACCACGCACTGCTGAAGATGGCTGCCAAGTGCGCAGACCTCAGGATGTGCCTCGATGTGTTCAAGGTGGGGACGCCCCTCCCTTCCTTTTCCCCCGTTCGGGGCCAGTCCCATGTGGCAGATGGGAGCCTGTGGTGTGTGTCTTCCCTCACACAGGGAGGTTCAGAGAGGATGAGGAGACAGCCCTGTGCTGGGTGCTGGAGTTCACAGATGACTCCAACAGGACTCTGCCCTCCGAGGCCTTGGGCTGACAGAAGACAGTAGGTTATGTGCACTCCTGTGTGCTGTGTGCCCTGTGTGGGGCCACTGAAGAGGGAGGGCTTCACGGATGAGGCATCCTCCACCTGAGTATTAAGGAGGAGTCGCTGCTCACAGGCAGGCGCCGCCCCCCCTCATGTAGAAAGAGCACTGGGAGTGCCAGCCCGGAGTTCAGGGATTTGCGGATCGGGGCTAGTCACTGTGTCAAGTTCGAGAGACACAGTTGAGTGCAGGTATGGGACGCTGAACAGGGCTTCTTCTGGAGGGGCCTCAGTGCCAGGCTATGGCAGGGATTCGGCCTGTATCCTCTCCTCCTCAGCTGCCCCATCAGAAGGGCTTTTTATTTCTAGTTCACAGAGGAGACAATTAAGTTTTTCAGTAGAGAGTACCTCAGGGCTTTGTTGCTACTTTCTCAGTTTGCAAGAAGGCAGGACAGATACACGTGAACACCTTAAAAGTCATCTTTAGCCAGGCTCAGTGGCTCAGCCTGTAAGCCCCCGCTTTGGGGGGCTGAGGTGAATGGATTGCCTGAACCCGTGGGTTTGAGACCCACTTGGGCAACTTGGCGAGACCTCATCTCTACAAAAAATCAGCCAGGCGTGGTAGCGCGTGCCTGTATTTCCGGCTACTCGGAAGGCTGAGGCGGAAGGATCGCCGGAGCCCAGCAGGTCAAGGGTGCGGTGGCCGGGAGTGGCCACTGCACTCCAGTCCAGGTGACAGAGTGAGACTCCAACTCAAAAAAAAAAGTCATCTTTATTGTGAGGGTGTCTTTGGGAAGCAAGGAAGGCTCTAGGTGCCCACAGCTAGCCCTCAAGAGAAACCAGAACAGCAACAGGGCACCAGGTGCCCTTGGCAGCCTTATCATGCCTGTTCCTTGGGCCCAGCAAGCGTGTCTTGCTCTCTAATTCACATCCTGCCTTGGTGGTGACTTGGCGACTTTCTGTTTCTGCCCCTTCTATGACTGACCAATGCTTTTCCTCATTGTATGGATCAAGTTCCCACCTGTCTCATCCCAGCAGACAGGACCAGGTGCTTGTCCAGGCTCCACATGGTGAAGAGCAGTCTGTTGGCCAGAGCTCACCCCTGAGTGGCTCATCCAGGGTCACAGGGGTCTGTAGTCTGAAGACCTCCCTGAGAGTGGCAAATCTCTCCAAAGGGTGCTGTGTGCAAGCCAGGTGCCTGAGGCTTCTGGAAGGGGACTGTTTAGCTGAAAGGGCTCTGGCCTGACCTGTCCAGAGATGTCATATTGGTATTTTAGGCAGGTCACTCTGGCTGGTGAGGTGGTGGGTCAAAGAGAGAAAGAGACCAGTCGAGAGACAGCTGTGGCCATACAGGAAGAGAGAGCCCAGACCAAAACCTCACTGAGTGGAAGATTGGCAACAGAGGAGGCTGTCCAGGGGTATAGGAGGCAGGAGAGTGGGAGCAGTGTGGTGGGGAGCCAGTTTATGCTGACCAGAAGGACGGGAGAGAGTTGGAAGAGAAGCCCATGAGGTGCTGAGAGGCGTTTGGAGTATCTCAGAAGGCCTGGGGCCAACACCAACACACCTAAGAGGGGCCAGTGGTAACTCAAGCCAGGAGACTTGCCATGTGCAGCACTGACTGTCACAGGATTGTTCCAAAGATCCTCCCTGGGACCCCCCCCCCCCACAATGAGGAAACTGAGGTGGGGGAGCTGAGTACTTAGCCCACACATCCACAGCTGACCAGTGTTGGAGCAAGAACATGAGGCCAGCCATATGCAGCTCCAGAGCCACGAGTCCAGTCGCCACGAGGTGATCTTTGCAGAGGTGCTACACAGATTTGCCTGAAGCCTAACTGGGAAGAGAGTTTGTGAGGGGCAGTGGGACTCCTGGGCTCTGCTGCAGGGGCTCAGTGGGACCTTCTTGTTCCCGCCCCCAGGAAATCATCCACAAAGGGCACGCGGTCACAGAGGAGACCTTCAACTTCCTGCTCATGGGCTGCATCCAGGACAAGGAGACAGGCTTCCGATACGCTCTGCAGGTCTGTCTCTCCTACCCTACCTTCCTGCCCCGCTTCCCGCAAGCCTGCGCCAGGGGTACAAAATGGTGATCCTGTGACTGCCCTGTGCTGGCTGTGTTTATACTTCCGCTCCTTTAGCCTTCCCAGAAGGCACTGCAACTCCGGTTCCACAGACAGAAGGGAGAGGAAGCCCGTGGAAGCAGTGTGAGGACAATTCCTGTCTTTCCCACCCACTGGGCGGCCTTCTGCAGTCAGCCCCGACTCTCCTAACCTGGGGACTCACCCGAGGAGTCATTCAACCCTCTCCCCTTAGCTCAGCATCTGCAGGTGTGACCCAGGAGTCTGCATTTACTCCCAGGAGAGTCTTAAGGCTGCCGATGTTGTGCACACTGCTCTAATCCCACCTCAGACCCCCAGAGACAATCCCGCTTATCAAGTGGGGTGTTGGTGCTAGAGTTGGCATCTCAGCTGCTTTCATGGCTTCTCAGAGTTGGAAAGACCCAGAGCTTGAGCTCCCCAGTGTGGAGTGTGGGCCGCAGACCAGCAGTATCAGCCTCACCTGGGAGCTGATCAGGAATGTAGGCCCTCAGCCCCGCCCGGGCCTCCTGTGTCCAGATCTGCATTTTAGCAAGATCCCCAGGTAGTCTGCACAGGGTTTGAGCCCCAGTGCTCTGGGACAGCCCTGGACCAAATGCTTGCTTCCCTCTGCAGAATCCCTGCAATCAGTGGCTGACCTCTAACCAGCAGCCTCTTTATAGATCTGTTCTAGTTAGAAATAATCTATCCTAGCCGGGCTCAGTGGCTCAGCCTGTAATCCCATACCTTTGGGAGGCTGAGGTGATTGGATTGCCTGAGCC